GATAGGGAACGTAATTGACCTATAGAATGGTTATAAAATAAAATAAAGGAAACAAAATTAAGAAAGAGTTGATTAATAAAATTTAAATCAACCAAGAATCACGTGAATCCTTTTTATAACCATTACAGTAGTAGGTAGCTTTTAGAATTTATGCTACACCTCGAAAACCTGCTAATGTACGTCGGCATTGGACCGGAATGGACAAGGTGAAGGCTCAAAATCACTACCGTGAAGAAAAGCGAGTGCATTGACTTCAAGACTGAGCCATCCACTTCGTTTACCTTTCGAATTTCTTTTAACACGTACAAAGATGACCAAAAGTTACCATAAAAATTTCCTTTAATTCACTAAATAATTCAACTCATAATCTTCATTCATTCCTTAGATCCCATCATCTTTTATCTTTAAACACAGGATACAGGATTTTAAAAACCCTTTTCACGTCGAGAGATTATCGTGACCAGGTACATTTTTACGTGAGTCGAATTTTTAAAACCGGAAGCGTGGTAAAATATTGACTTAAAAAGTCGCCGCTTTTAACTTAATTTGCCTTAAAAATATTCTTTTCGCTATCAACCGAATTTAATATGTACATAAAATAAATAGTGATTCATAAAGAACGGAACCGATGATAACAAAACTGCACCCAACAACATAAACGAATTGGACGACGCTTCATAGATTTTTGTGACCGGAAAAAGGGTTAATGACTTTTATAATGGTCGTTTTCGATGGACTGTTTAAACGATTAACTCCGTTTTGAAGAGATCTTCTTTATTATATTTTCATCTATGAATAGAAACTGTTCATTGAAATGGTTATGATGATGATTTTAACAACTGTTTGCAGTTAAGTTGATTTTGTTTGTGTAAAAACGGGGATTTACAGTAAACTAAAACGAATAATTAAATAAATTAACACAAATGTGGAATATTCATTAACAAGATCTCTCAAGACGACTAAACCCGAATTATTCTAGTTCTAGGTGTTGTACTAGTTTTAAAGATAGTGCTAGTACAATACTAGAACTAACACTAGACCGAGAACTATAAACATTCGGATTTAGCCGAACGTCTCCCAAGACGGCTAAACCCGAATGATTCTAGTTCTAGGTCTTGTGTTAGTTCTAGTGATAGTGT